TGCCGGCATCGCGCCAAACGCCACCAGCCCAAATCTCAAGCAGTTCTATCCCCCCAGGCTCTTCGTTACCCCCCGGGGGAGACCGATGACGGAGACCAGCGCCCAGTGTGCCACCGTGGTTCTTCTCCCTGGGGCGTGAATGCGAAGGGGGAGGCGGGAGGGAGGCAGCGAGCGTGGGTGCCGGTGGGCTCGGGGTGGGGGATTCCCCACGCAGGGGCTGAGCGAGCATCGTGCTTGCACGGTGGGGTGAGCGGAGGGACGGAGAAGAGCGATGGAGCGGGTGTCCTTCCTGGGGGGTCCTCACGGTGACGCTGCCCCGGGGTCTGCCGTGAGCACGGGGGGCGGCAGAGGAGGAGGGGAGCTGGAAAAGCGAGCCCGGAGGATGCGGCACAAAGGGGTGGGTTGTGCCGCCCCGCTCTGACCTTCTTCTCCGAGTACTGGAACATTTCCATGGCCTCCTCCACCTGCCCTTCCTCGTAGCCCTGCTTCAGCAGCCGGTCGCAGGCACCCAGGTAGCTCAGGAACTGCAGGAGAAGACAATCGTGGTTAATCCAACCTCACAGACACAGGCAGTGGGTGCATTTAGGAGCCCACCAGGGACACACTCATGGGGAGGCCCTGGGCCACCACCATCCTGCTGGTTTCCGTCTGATGCTCAGCCAGGGTGGGCGGTCTGTCTGTCAGCAGGACTCCCACCAGGAGAAGACAACATCTTGGTCCCCACCGCTCTCCCAGGGTGGGAACAGGAACAAGGCGGAGGGAGGACGAGGAGCAAAGCAAACATCTGAACCGTCTGAGATACAAAGCGACGGCCTCCAGGTTGGGGGGTGAAGCAGAGCCTGTCCCAGTGAGATGTCTACCCTTGGCCGACCTGGCACCCCTTTGATGCGCCGGGGTTCGGGCGCCCGTGGGTTTGCTCCAGGGTCTGAGCACAAAATCCACCCCAGGGGAGACCCATGTGCTGTCATTACTGAAAGTAAACAGTTATTTTTGGCTTTCCTCGTTGTTCTTGGAGTGCTGACAGCACTATTCCCAGCGGTATCTTTTAAATACCACGAGAATCATTCACTGTCCAAAAACATATGGAACAGACAATAATAAACGAGCTATACAATAGCAGGGAGAACAAAAACATCCCGTGGGTCACCCCAAAGCCGTGTCATCTTCATCCAAGGAGAAGCTGATTCATATCTCCCCACATCCACCAATGCACAGACCTCCACCCTCCCCAGCACCGCCGTAGCCAAGGAGAAGGGTTCAGTAAAAGACCATAGAACACACGAAAAAGCCAAACAAGTCCCTCAAACGTTGAGTTGATGTAGTTTAGCTAAACAGCAGAGTAAGGACTTCAAGAAATATCAGCCTTAAGGAGCGGCTTATTAACTGTAAAATGAGATAGTCACTCGTCATCGGCATTCGCAACCTGTTTTTATTTTCCTCGTTACCTTACTAACTACAAACCCCAGATCATTGCTGTATTTTCTTGCCCTGTTGCAGCAGGGACAGCCTCTCACCACGCTCACAGCCGAACACAGACAGTCCTGGCAGCCTGTTCAAGCCCAGCATGAAATCAGTGCCTTTGTCAACTCCATGATTTTTATCATTAAAAAAATAATATACATATATATCCTCAAGACTAAACAAAAACAGGTTTTTAAATACTATGACCTGCTGACCCTCTGGGTCCAGAACAGGCTCCACTGCTCACTGGGGAGGAGGAAAAAGTGCCACTGCTCTCTTGAAGCTCCTTCTGCCCCTGTAGCTCTCAAGGATGCTTCTTACAACACTTATACGTGAAGTTCCTCCAGCGCAGGCACCCCTGGAAAGCTCAGCTTTACACGACCAACCCGATAACCTCGTCACAAACTGCTCATGAGGGAAGAGACCTCCAGGCTCTGGTAGGTCAGTAACCTGCTGATTTGTTTCTTCCCTCATTTGCTGCTACTTGAAGTTACGTGCAGCAATGCAGCTTTTCACATCAAAGACGTGCACGTGCAGTGACAGAAGGACATCCCTCCTCTGGTGGGTTTTATCTTCCACGTCCCTGTACCACTCTGGCTGATGCCCATCGGAAAGGCTTGTCCCCACTTCAGGTGCGGTAGGTCAGTAACCTGCTGATTAGTTTCTTCCCTCATTTGCTGCTACTTGAAGTTACGTGCAGCAATGCAGCTTTTCACATCAAAGACGTGCACGTGCAGTGACAGAAGGACATCCCTCCTCTGGTGGGTTTTATCTTCCACGTCCCTGTACCACTCTGGCTGATGCCCATCGGAAAGGCTTGTCCCCACTTCAGGTGCTCCAACAACTGGCTGCTTAAGGAGAGCAAAGCCCCACCACCAACCATTCCACCGACCCAGCTGGACCATGGGCTATAAGCTGAAAAAGCCACGAGCAAACACCACTGAAGACCCAAATGCTGATTTCATCGTGGAGGAACAGGGTAAACGTCACCCCAGTCTTGCAGCAGGGTTCAAGCCAGGGACACGCAAACACGGTGGGCACCACCCCTCGGGTGCTGAGCCTCCAGGGACAGAGGCGCTCCAGGGGGGGACAGGGAGACCCCAGCCAGCACCATGGCAGAGCGCCCTGCTCAACTCATGGCCACAAACGCCACCCCTGAGAACGCAACTTCTACAAGCGTTGGAGAGGCTCCCCG